CATTAACAACTCAGAGTAAGCAAAGATGCCTCTGCTGTCAGCTTTTTTGAGTATTTTGCCCACATCTGAGATTACCGTCTGAAACACAGCCTCTGTTGCAGGGCTGATTCGTATACAAGCAGCCTAAGTGCAAGTAGAAGGAGGCCAGCTCTACCGGCAAATGACTTCAGTATGAAGACGAATGACTGAAGACTCAGTCCTGCAAAGCGTTAAGATTCATACACGGCTCTGAGTTCTTAAATTCTCACTAGGTGAATGCAAATTGAATTCTGTGAGCATGTGGGATAGATGCTGGAATACAAAGCAGTGCACCTGAGTAAGAGATTAAAGATGTTTAAGGAAGACTCTTTAAACTTTTTAGTATGATCTTAAAATAAAACCAAGGGAAGAATCAGCCTTGAAAATTATCAAATACCTTCGCATACATTAGAAATCAACTGTTAAGCTTTCTAGTTTCAGACAGGAGTATTCCTGGTAAAGTGACAACTGCACTGATGACGACCATTCTTCTGATGGAAAAAAGCTAAGTATATTTAACATAAAAAATTCCTAATCTTTAAAATTAAAACTAAAAATCCAACACATTAGGAAAAAGTGTTACTCCTACCTTACCATACTACTGGCCTGGATATTTAAAGAAACACTGAGACTGGTCTCCCGGGAATTCAGGATATGTTCTTCCTCTTACCTCTCATGGCTAACTATAATAAGGGATACTAAAAAAAATTATTTTTTAAAAAAATGTAGCCTGATGAAACATTCGTTTCTATCCTATGGTTGAATACTTTTTATATTAAATTTATTTTAAACCTGAAGCAGTCACTATGAAATTATACATGCAAGCACTATTTAAGAAGTATATATGCCCAAAGTGGTGAACTAGAAAACTGTAATGAAGTGGTATTAGCAAGATGCAATAATTCAGTCTGATGCACCAGAAGCGACATTTTTTTGCCACAAAACTGTAAAAGGAAGCATAGTAAAAGCTTAAAAGGACTGAAATGTAAAGTCATGTGAGAAATGTTACAAAAATATTTTAAATTATATTTTATATTAATTTAAAGGCATTTTTTGCCAGATTTAAATAAAAAATCATTAGCAATTGCATTATGGATGACAGCGTAAGAAAAACCTATAACCACTTACAGCATACACAGGATGAACAGGTTGAATGCAAAATTGATTGGTAAAACTTACATGGCTAAGTATGATTCTAGTTTCCATACCTGCAATTCATTCATTAATATCTTAACTTCTAAGAGTTTCACTGTTTTTCCTTATTTTACTACTTAGATTACTCTGTGCAAGTATTCTGCATCTTACTACAAAATATATTTTCTTCTCCTAAAGTACATACTGTCCATGCTTTGAGTTTCTATGCAGACTCACAAGAGCATGGGAAGTATTAAGCCACAACTCGGGCTACTTGGATGGCTGCCTCCCTGTCTCTAGGTCTTTAGCTTTATTCACCACACTAACCACAAAGCAAGCAAAGAAGTTACTCTTTGCGCGTCCTTATAAAGAGTGATTTGTGATTTACGATCATTCCGTTTAAAAATATGTATACAGTGGAAAATTACTACCCAAAGATCAAAGATGTGAATTACATTGCACAGTAGAATTTAGGCCTCTGAAGGCTCCTGTTGAAATTGAGGATACATTATTTCTATACACTCTACGTTCTTCCTCCAGCAAAGTAATTAACTGTAATTCTTGTTCTTGCTTCATATGCCTAAGACCTGCTTCCCAGGACTCTTGTTTAAGTCAGTGTATTTAGAGAAGAGCACAGCTGACACAATGAGTTGAAGAACTGCCTAGATAATCAAGAAAGGAAATGAGAAAAGATACTGAATGCGTCAGAAACTTGACGTAACTACAACAGTAAATATAAAGCAGAGGAAAACAGATGAGGAAACTAAGATGAGGAAACTGAAACAAACTACGAGACTCCGAGTTATTTCTTTCCTAAATAGTTAAGTGCCAAAAAGACTATGCTATTTTTCCACAGGTCACAGAGCTGGCAGGCAATGATAAGGAGACTGCCTTTTCCAAGACTGTTCTCATGGTTTCCAAACCGTAAATCAGTAGTCAATAAGGCCACAGTAGGTGGTCTGAAAACAGTTCACACATGATGTCTGAGGTAAAAATTAGGTAACTAAGGTAACTGATTAGTCTGGGAGAAATTGAGAGAGCTGACAGTGATTCACAGATTTTCTGGAACAATGGATGACTGCTACATATTCCTACGTTTGCTCTATTCAGGCTATTAATATTGTCTACAGTACAGAGTAAACATAAGGCGTGGACAATTCAGAGATTTTCAATTAAAAAATTGAATCATTTAGTTGTAATAATACACAATCTATTCACTATATGATGGCATGCTGCAAATTATCAACTTCGACTGTGAGGATACAGAAACACAAGAAAGATGCTCTAGTTACGCCACCTGATCTTTCCTTTAACACTCTATCTAAATATATTCAGCTATCAGCAGCCTTTCTCCTCACTATTCATTGTGGGTTAATGCAACCCACATTGTCATCTGCAAAACAGAGTTTGCCCTTCAATTTCTTTTCCATGTGTTAGATACCAGTGTAAAAGATATTCTAACACACAGAATAGAAACCTGGGAGATGTATCAAGAGCCCTTTTCCCCCCAAACTGAACACTTTTTAACAACTGTCTTCAATAAATTGTGTGTGTAAGTATTATGGTTAAGGACAAAATGTCATGAGAATGGAGATGCTGGGACACATGACGCATTAACTTATGTTTTGCTCAGCCTAGTTTTACAATATAACCTTCACTGAGGAATGGCAAAAGTCTTCGGAGACTTAAAAAAATTCCTGAAAAGCAAAGAGGTTAATAACCACTGACATATTTACCCAAACACGCACTTTATCTACAGTCATCAACACCTGCTTCATTACGCACACGCAAGTAACAAATTCACTCATCTGTCACTGACCAATATAAAGTCAGCCACGCTCTATCTTGGGCAGATGTAATACATAACATTTAGTGTATCAATTTCTTGTGAGCTATCTAAATGCTTAGACTCGGACCCACAGGTGGGTAGTCTGCATGAATACACCCTTTAAGAGCCTCCCCAGGCCCCAAGGCTTGCTAAGACAAACCACAAATCAAGACACTGTTTCCTACGTCAGCCACACTCTAAAACAGACGGGGTCGGGCCACGGCGGCAGTATCAACTCTCACACAAAGCAACAGGAATTAGAGCAGTCAATCAGGATAAGCCACTCTCGGGTTTAATCGCTCTTCCTGAAAGGGCTCAGCTCACCAAGCGCGTTGGTCATCGGGCTAAAGGGCCAAGCACCGTTACCGCTCCCTCGCAGGGCAACAGGTATTGCGTTCTTGTGGCGAAACAGGTTCAGGAGGACCGACAGTCCTGCCCTGGGCCTGTTCTGAAAGAGCCACGTGGATTTAACTCACCTCATACGTAGAAGGGCTCAGGACTCGGTGCTTGTTGCTCTTAAGTAACTCAACTAAGCCTGCTACAAAAAGGGGCATCATCACTTCTCAAGATGCCACAGCACGGCACCGCCGTGCACCCCCCGCGCCTCTGCGGTAGGCATGCTCCCAGCCTGCCGCAGAACCGCGCTGCCTCAGGGACTGACGACGGAGGACATCTAATTTGTGGGTCCTGGTCCAGTGAGGGGGTTTTACAGGGATTCTGAAAGCAAAACTAAAGTGACCTAGAAACTGTGACTACTGACGGTCTGTACATATACAAAATGTAGGTGCTACACGACAAAGAAAATGGCAACCTTTGAAGAGAATGCTTTTGGATTGAAATGCATGAATCCTGTTTAAGTCCTAAGTCCTCTGCAGATTTGGGTTTCAGAGTATAAATGCACGCTGAATGAAGACAAAGTGTGGGGGGGACAGGGTCCCATTAGTGAGCTGCAATATAATTAGGTAAAACACCTATGATACAGCTGTATTAATGACGAGTCAGTGAAGTTTGAACTCAGTTATTTGCAGACAAGATGCTCTGCCGACAGAAGACCTTCTTCACACTACAGTTCAATATAGCATGCATTTTAACTAACAATTGACAGGTCTAGCAGATTTTCCAAGGACAAAAAACCTATTTGCAGGAACAATATACAAATATGCTCCTCTGATTCTAAAATTTAAAAAACCCTAAACATAGTATTACAGACTGATGTATCAACACCCAAATTACTATCTGACATTACCACATACAACTAGGCAACATGAATTTTCAATTATATTTATTTCCCTGAAACAAATTATCTAGGAGCTCATATATTGATAAAAGGTATTTATGATAGTTATTGTAAAATTATTTCTAGGAAATAACTTGCTTCAGACTGACATTTAATCAGGTTAAAAAAGAATGGCATGTTTTTGACAAAGTCCAATGTAAATTAAAACCACCTTCCTTGTATTACACTTTTAGAAAAGCGCTTCCAGAATTTTACTGGATGATCGAAGTAAAAATTCAGCCTTGGGATACTGAACAGCTACTGGAAAATGAAAACTGGCATTATAAGAGACCGCTAAGAGATATATGATCTATCACTATAACTCCATGGTTCTCAAATTAACATCAACTTTAAGAATGAAAATGAATTCGTGCAATGGAAAGTAAGGGAAGACAGAAGCAAGCTAAAAACACAGTTACATGTATACCGATTTGATGTCTAATCCCCCCACTCTTCCAACATCTTTCATTTTTTAGAAGCCTATGGTATTTCCTTAGTGCACATACAGCTTTGTTAAAACTCAGTGGCATATCCACATAATTAAAACATGCTATATTTGAGTGAAATTGCAATGTTTTGAGAAATTTTGAGAAAATTTGAAACAACAAAAAAATGTAACTACTGATTCAGTGGCTGCATTTCATTCCACACACTGCTGCTTGGTGAAAAAAATTCCTTGCCGTACAAGACCTAAATCTACCCACATTTTATTTAGAGATAGTGCTTGATAAAGAGTATTATTACCGTTGGTTCCTCACCACCTGTGACAGTTGAAGAACGAGCTCTCCTAGATGGACCACTCTGCTGTTAAATGATAATTAATGTTACAGATAAGTATATTTAGTGATGAAGGTCACAGATTACTGTCACATCTTTAGGAGTAAGGAATCACAGACACTCAAATTTATTGAGAGAGAGCAATTAGATGGAAATAATGTTTAAGATAGCAGCAAACAAAATGAGTCATCAATCACTGATAACCATGTCAGAATCTCACAAAAAACCACCAAGGGAACTAATTTCAAGAGTTCTTGTATCCAGTTCTATACGTTCAGTATTGCCAATTATAATAATAAGAACTTTTACTGTAAATGAAACATGATGTTCCCCCTCCCAAACAAATTTTGCACATTCTGCCCATAAACATGGTATTTAAAAATGAAATGGATATAATCTGGTCATCAATGAGTGCACAGAAAAAGTCAGATTGAAAAAGATGGAACTGATACTTTGAATTTTTAGTAGGGATTGATACAGTCAAGAACAGCACTGTATTTAGAAAGTATGTATTTAGTTGCTAGAAAATAAATTATCATTAGCTTAGTAAGGACTAACTATTGTTAAGATCAGGCAATATCCTTGTTTCAGAGTAATGCTTTCAATTCTGTTTTGAACATCTGCTACTGAAATGAGTGTTCTACAGTAACAAAGTGAAAGACATATCAACAATCCCAATCTGACTACACCAGTTAAAGAAACCCAGACTCCATGTTATATAAAATAAAGAAGCAGAACACCTCTGGAACAGACTGCATTAGGAGTCAACTTTGTCTAGTACAGAGAGAAGATAGTTAAGGCGTTGAAAGTAGAGAGACAGATGATACTTCAGAAGCAGTTCTCTGAACAACAGCTGTTACATGCATCACTAAGCACCAAATGTAGATAACGCTAAACAACTTCTAGAACATGTGAAAAAATTAAACAAAGAAAAACACTATGTTTATTGTAAATGACTGCCCAAAAGCAACAGGAAGAGCAAGCAGAGACATCAGCTTTAATATCAAACTTATTGATATACTCTATTTACTCAGTATTTCCGTAAAAAAGATACACAAATTTGCTATTTGTAGATTTATATGTAATATATTGCTAATTACAAATTGGGGAAAAAAATCCTTGAAGAAAAGTACATTATTTTAAAATATTAAATTATTTTGAAAATCTGAACAGTTTTATTCAAAAGTGTATCTTGCACAGTCCTATTTCAAGCAGTCTCTCTACAGCTTACCACCTTTGCAACGCTCATACTAGGGTTGTACGACAAAATATGTAGAACTTTCTACCCATTAGATCAAAGGTGTGCATGGTTATGATGTGAAAGTGAATATTGTTTTAAAAAAAATCTTTGTACCTTTGCCTGTTTGAAGAATCTACTGAAATAAAATTGCAGAAGCTGCTGCTTGCGTAAATCACTCAGACTGAAAAACTACAACAGATGCAATTCTATTTAGTCTATTATATAAGGTCTATCACAAAAAGGGTCCTTTTAACTAAGACTAGGTAAAACACCAATCCTTTCTAATGTTGTACAGATTTATATATTCCAAGTAAAATCAACTTATGGGACACAAAAATACTTGAGAGTCCGGTGGCTGCTACAGTTCCAAGTGTAGATAGTGCCACTGCCCTCTTCTACCCCAGCTGAAAATACCCCTTTGGAAGATCTTCTCTCTCCACTGACTATATATCTAGAGTTTAATAAACTAAAGTTCTATGTTAGATAACTAAAGTTAGCATGACTATGCTCTCAGTCTCGAAATGTTCTTCTCTCTCATGAATGTCCTCATTTTAGTTGCTGACTGTGATGATATTAATTTGGTATTCATTACTATTTGGGATAGTCATATGCTCATAGGGGTTACTGGTCTGTATCTGACTAGAACTGACCCAAGAAAAGATATTATTCAGAATCAGAGAATGTTCAAACAAAAAGAAAAGAAGTTAACTTTGGTTACCAGGGATAGTTGAGACTGTTCAGCGACTGTGTCTGTTACACTGCAAGATCTTAATCTTGAAGAAGGATCTCTTTGCTGGGGAAAAAAAAAAAGTATTAAGTTAAAATGTCTTAAAACATGGGGTTTTACTTAGTAATTTTGCTTTTCTCCCATTTAATCCAACTCCCTAAAAATAATACTTATGTTGCAGTCTCTTTAGTTTTAATACTTCTACAGAAACATGGCAAGCAATGAAAAATCTAAATTCTCAGCATTCCATCCTGGATTGTTTCACATTAACTGAGAAAAGGAAAGTACTTGGATACACATCCTGCATTCATCTTTAGCATCCAATTTACAATGTTTTATTGACCTAATCTAAGACAAGATGATAAGCCATCCCACCCAGGAAAACACACAGGAAAATCAATAGTTGTGGAATCAGCAGCAGAAGTGGAAGACTAAGACATAATGGGATGTGAAAATGCCATGGAACTTTTGAAAAACAAATTTTGTTTTTTGGAAGACATTTTAGAGGGAGCATAAGCAGTATAAGGGAAATATAGAACTTCTTGCTGAATACTGGCAATGTAGTCCTCGGAAAATCAATAGGCTAGAGTTTACAAATTTCTTCATACGCCTTACTGCACGAGGTAACCCCTATATTCATTACTCGCACAGGGGCACGAGAGGATGCCAATCCTATGCATGGGATGATTATGTGGTTCTTGTGCCTGTGGCTGGGAAAGCAGCAAGTTCTGCAGAACTTCCACTGGGATTACAGCCACAGTGAGCCTTGCTAAGATCATCTCTTGGCATATTAAGAAATTTCCAAATTTGCATCTTAGTATAGGATGCTTAGCTTACTCTTCAATAATAACATTAAGAACAGCTTTAAAGTTTACTGTTTAACAAATGGCAGAGAAGTGCTCAGAAGTTTGCTGGCTAGAGTTAATCCAGAAATTTCATACAAAAATCAAACTAACTGCTAGAGATAGAACTCTATATTGTAATGATCATTAGGGAACCTATAAATATAAATAATGAAAAAAAAAGGACATTAGAATATACCCAATTACTGAGCAGATTACATGTGTTTTACAGGTACAAACCTCTCTCTAATAAAATCTGTAAACAATTAGTATCTACTTCTATTTTACCAGGCAGTGGTATATACAATTTCTCTGTTGACAGTGACCCTTTATATATATGTATTATAAAAAAAGGGGCTCCTTCATTTTTCTAAACGAGAAATGTCAACACGAATAAATTCCAATAGAAAAAAAGATGTGATTTTTATTTCCATACTACCATAAAAACAGTGGCAGAATGCATCAGTATTACCCCAGGTCAAAATACCGACTCCAGGAATTCTGACTTAAGCTCGGTGAGGACTAGGGTGAATTGCTATGAATTTCTTTGGAAAGATCAAATAGAAAGGACAACTCTTACATCAAAAATCCTCCGTCCCACAGGATTTTCTAAGTGTAAGTGATGGGAAATCTTAGTAGGAAAGCAGGCCAACTTGTCCAGCAAGAAAACATTATAAGAGGGATGGAAAAAAATCTGAGCAGTTAAGCTAAGATTGTTTCTTAGATAAAAAATAAGCAGATGACACTTCTCTCAAAACCAGACATTGCCATAAAAACTGTAGCTATAATACAGCTCTTCAGGGAGTGAATGGTTTGCCTTGGTTTTCATTACCCTATGGTGAAATTCACATGTGGCAGGCATTATTGACAAAAATTAGCCATTAAAAACTAATCAAAAAATCAAATATTATGGTTTTTTGTATGGGGGATCAAATACTAGGATTTTTGTATGAGGATAAGACCTCAAAGTCTTAAAAATTTATTTACTTAAAAATTTACAATATTTATTAAAAAAAAAATCAAGTCTTAATTTTCCTCTTTGCCTCCTAGTTTCTGAACTTCCCAAGACACAACTTTCATGATCATGAATCAGAACCGCCCCCCCCCCCAAAAAGCAGATATGCTAGCATGTCTGCTTGATACTAAAATGGAATTCCTCACAAACCTGTGAGATTTATGAAAAACAAAGTGATAAAGCACAGTGGTGTCTAGTGACTGAATTCTATGCCTTACGGGACAGGCTCAGATTATAAAGGGACAGGATCTGAGAAGTGACAAGGATCAGTAATTACATTTTCCACTTGCTATGACATTGTTTTTGGGACTCTCAGCTTCACACCCCAAAATTACAAGCAAGGCCTCTAAAGATAATTCCAGCTTTTATGGAAGCAAGACCCTTGCTATCCAATTAGAAATGTTTCAGAAGGAACTAACGTGCCATGCTAATATTCTTTCCATTTAAGAAGGAAATAATGTTCTACCCATGTCAGTTAGCAACCATTGCCCTGCAGAATTAACACCTGGTCTACAATGTGTAATCCAATATAAGAAATACATCAGTATTAGAGTAATTTTGAAACACTCCCATAGCTGGTATCAAGACATTTAGAAGGCATTAGGCATGGCAACAGCAAGCACTTTTTCTTACTCCCATGAGAAATACGTATTATGGAAAAAAACCAAACCAAATACTGTAGTCATGAGAGCTGGCAACAAAGCCAGCCACGAACTGACTATTTCAGTTGGAAGGGACCTACAAGGATGACCTAGTCCAACTGCCTGACCACTTCAGGGCTGACAAGAATACAATAAAATAATTTTACAGTATTCAATAAGGTCAGTCAGCATCTGAACAGCATTTCACTTCAAATGCACTTTCTCACACAGCTTTTCTGTGTGGTTTGACTGAGGCTGTAAGTTCCATGTACTGAAACAAGCCTTGGGTAATTCTGAAACTTAGTATTTTGCATAATTGATGCCTCATCTTTAATCAAAGAGTAACTAGCATTACCCTCTTCTGGATATTAATGGTACGAGTATGAATGCACTAATAAACAAGCAAACTACCCAGCCTAATTATAACCACTCACATGGGCACCCTTATACACCATAGAAAGATAACAAAAAACCACCATGAAGTAAGCTATTTGAGATGCATATCAGACACTCCAACTCCTACTTAAAAACATCAGTCCTAAAAGCACATTCTGTTAAAAGATATGGGTTTTAAAAAAACATACAGAAAAAAAGACGCAATTACACCTTACTTTATGTTATGCTAAGGATAAATGTGAAAGGATTTGTCTGACAAATGTATCGACCAGCAAGTCTGAAGTGTTTCCTGACATTACATAGATATAACGAAGAGAGTGACAAAATACTTTAACACACATACAATCACTCCTCAACTCTCTGTTGTGTTGTAGATTAACTATGTATGGTTGTAGAGACACTGAAGCTGTCTCTGCATGGAACAACCAACGGTCAGGCTGGATATCCTAGGATAAGCATGCTGTTGGGGAAATGTGACTGTAAGGGCTTCTGGTTTCAGCCCACAACCGGCAGATCTGAGGCAGCTTTATGTAAAACAGGTTTAGAGCTGGTGGACTTGGGAAAAAACCTGGATGCAAGCTTCCTCCATGCAAAGTCATGAAGCTGATGTCACAAGCCTTTGGGAATCTGGATCAAGAGGCGATCTCAGGTGAACATACCTGAGCACATGGACTATAGCTTGTGTTCAGCTAGAAGTGCCAAACTTTTCCTCTCTACCTGGCTCAATCCAGATGAAGGTCTTAGATGTCTCTGTGCTGTGCTTGCCAACCTCCAGATGGGGAGGATTTATTAGCCCAGGTAAGCACTGTTCATTCACATGGAACCAGCTCAGACTTAAGTGCTGGATCAGGCAGGGAGCCCTCTCAAGGCCAGAGCTGTGGGAAGCACAGGTCAGAGACATGAGCTGCCTTGACAGATACGCCGGGGCTACACGCTAAACACTGCTGACCGACTGCTGGGTGCCTCAGCGAGGCCTCTTAGAGTAATTTCACTGTCTGTTCTTTTCTGTTACTTTCAGTATCCCAACACCCTTACACTGGATAATGCACCATAACAGAGATTTTAAATGTTTTGACAATTTCTTACTTTGCAAGTGTGGTCTGATTATGTTTTTTATTGCACTGATAAGAAAGATGTTATCGCTTCATGGCTCATAAAAAAGCTAGTTCATATAGGAATATAATTATTGAATTATTTTAATTAAGATAACTTTGCAGCTACACCATTTATTTATTTAGTGTAAAAAAAATGTAGGCCCTGATCTTGCCACTGAAACGGTTTGATTAACCTCCTGCCCTCCAAGTGAAGGTCTATGAAAATGTGCAGTTATCTACAAAATCACAAGCAACTCTTCATGCAGATGGTTAGCCATCAGAGCCATAATTTGCTAACTAGTATCTGGATAACATTCAAATCATTATAAGACACCTACTGCATGGGCTCTTTGTGAAAAACTTGCACCTAATCAAGGCTCTATTTAATCAGAACAAGAGTAAATATGATTTCTTATCTCTTGAATTGCAAAGGTGCCTTGGTAGCACATACCAAGGATAAAAAAAAGAAGTCACAGCATGATGTTCTGTTTAATACTTAAAATTGTTGTCTTAATCAGAGCGACATAAGACATTCTCCCACTTGCAAATGTATTATTCTTATTTTTTGTGGTATCATCAGTCTGACAAACTAACGGATAACAGAACTATAGAGAACATTGTTTGTTTTACCTCAAGTAAGCCCCTACGGTGAGACACAATTTTTTTCCAGACTAGCCATTTACAAACTTGTGGAGTATTTCACCAGAACTACCTACTTTCAATTCTAATCCCTTGTTAGTCTTATAATAGTTGATCCAGTAAATTATGAGGGTTTTAAAAATCCTAATATAAGAAGCACATGCTTTAATATAAACATGAAGACTTAAAGTACTGAACTTAAGAAAAATTATCACGTAGTAAAATGGATGATGACTGAAAGAGCATTAGCAGTTTTTCTTCGTTCCTTTGGAAATCCTTCGCTTGATACTCTCTAGTATTACATGTTTTGTTTCACTAAAGGTGTAACAGTACCAGACTCTGAAGTTAAAACTCACACAGAAGAAAAGATTAAATCTCAACTGAGGAATTCTGCTATTCAAGGCAGTTTGCTCTATCGTGAAATTATGATGTATTTTTTGGAAGATAATTTTAACTGTATGCTCAGGTTTTCCCAAGACCAGCAATTACTACCCATCCATGTAAATGATTCCAACTATGTCAAACTAACAGAAGGTTACAGTAATAGAGGTTTATACAGAAAGAGCAGCATGTCACGTACAATCAAAGAACTGAGTTGTTCCCCATTGGAGTCAGGAGTGACCTGAAGTCTTCTGCTCAGTTCCTCAGATAGCTCCTGAGGACTGGTACGGGATACTGGAGATGCAGGAGGAGGTGGCAATGACAAGCTTAAGGAATCTCCACTTGCACTTGCCTCCTCTGAAATGGTTTCCCAAGGCTAACGAAAGAGAAGAAACTACGTTAAGGATTTATAAAGACAGACTGAGTCTTCTTTCCCTTTGCCTTCTATGTGACCACCTGATTGCGACAAACACAGGTGTGATCATCAGCCTTAACATTTAACGAAATAAACCAATCCCTACAACACACAAACATTCTACTCGGTGTGAAGTAGTTACACGGAAAATGGTTTTAATGTTGACTTCAAAACAGTCTTTATGTTGATGATGACACAATGCTTTACATTCAACACAGAAAACGATGTAGATGAAAAAATGCATAAAAAAGGTTTCATTAAATAAATTCTATTTGAAATTTTCTTCAAAATGGAACTAATTCTGCACTTTGTAAAACTTGTAAGAAAGAACTGTTAATTTTAATTTAGAATAAAATGCACAACAGAAAGTACTCACTAGTACCTGCAAATCAAGTATTACCACGTGACAAGTGCAACAATAATTTCAGCAATCTATTTGTTGCTCTGAATAACATTTAGTGAACCAAAACTAGCTTTCACGAAGAATTTTGTCTGTCATTCACATAATAAAGTATTCCTTAAAGTTGAATGGGATTAGAGCTTTGCACACACTCTCACCTAGACCTACAAATATCTACCAAATTTAATTTATTTAGTCTAGCTGTAAATTAACCAAACACTCACCCTTAGTAATAAGATCTCAGAATTCTAACTAAAACCAAGTATTTAGGGAATAAAACCAACAAGCTTCTCTTTCCTCTAGACAAAGACTGAAGAAAACTGAAGTACACTGCACTTCCAGCCAATACCATTCCCTTGTTTTTACAACTTATTCCACTGTTATTCAAAGCAGAATATTGAAACTGTTTCTATCAATGTATACATAACAAGCAATGCTTGGAATTATAAATGTTTCTCTCAGCATTTGCATAGTATTTAGCATTGTGCCTACATTATTAGGCACCCACAAATGCATGGGACCTTGGAAGTATAGCTCTGTTTAGGATTTTTATTGTGCCACTGGCATTTTACTTCTGCAATTTCATAAACATCATGCAAAAGCATTATTATGTATGCTGTATAGTAATTAGCTCACAAATAAGAACACATCAGCTTCAAGTTTAGTCAACGTCTTAAACCCATGACCTTTACATACCTCAGGAATGTCTCCACTCTCCACAGGTTCTGGTTCCAAATCCTCACTAATGTGTCTCCGAGAGCGGAACCGCCTATGGGCTGCTTCTTGGTTTATTTGCCTGATATTGTTATCTGAATCAGATCCCACATCACTGGATAGTGGGGAGATGAACACATGCGAAGGAGAAAACAAGAAAATAATGAACATTAAACTAGAACGCATACTTTGCCCATTACTTTTGAAACCTCATTAATGCTTTTGATTATAACAATCATTGTTCTTGCACATGCCAGGCTTCATAAATAGAGGTCTGTTTAAACACAGAATCATTAAGGTTGGAAGGTACCTTCAAGATCATCAAGTCCAACCATTAATCCAGCACTACCATGTCCCCTAAACCATGTCCTGAAGTGCCACATCCACACGTTTTTTGAACACTTGCAGAGATGGTGACTCCACCACCTCCCTGGGCAGCCTGTGCCAATGCCTGACCACTCTCTCCATAAAGAAATTTTTCCTAATATCCAATCTAAACCTCCCCTGGTGCAACTTGAGGCCATTTCCTCTCGTCCTATCGCTGGTTACTTG